GTTGCTATATAGATAATAAGATCATTGAAAAGTTAATCAAAATTATAAATTTTCTTTATTTAGTTTTGCAAGTCAGTAACACCTGTAAACGATGGATTGGAAACTCTCACTAGTATCGCAATTGTTATCCTTCATTTGGTCATTATGTTTCTAAATAATTACAGTGGACAATTAGTAATAAACAATAGTGGGGACATATTTCATGAATCGTAAGATTAAACACATGTCATTTATTCAGTTATATTGTTACTAGTCTAAGTCTTCATGCACTCGTTGAATAAATAATTCGATCACAGTAAATAGCATAACTGGATATCACTATTTGCATGTTTTATGCAAGCCTTATTACTGTAAATATAATATTAAGATATACAAAGAATAAACAGAAACATTTTGGTGAATTAAATCTAATATAAATTTTAACAATTTTCTAATACCGTGAACAATTTTTTAGATGCCTGCAACAAAAAAATATTCATCGATTCAGTTGTTCGCAATATATTTCCTAATCAAATTTGTCAGCTTCACTAAGGTTTATCTTTCAACTTTTTAGCGTTTCGTACAAAATTGTAACAATAGTCAGAATTGTTGTTCAATTCTTCAACGACTCAATGTCGATAAACATTTATAAATGTCAAATCAATGGAATTGAGATCGGCAGTTTGTGCATCAGATAGAAAAAGTTTTCAGTTAATTTTGTCCATATTTTGCTATGAATGTAGAATCCCAATTGGAATTTTATTAATTGTAAATCTATAAAAACATCATTAAACACGTATCGGTTCATGTACAGATTTATAAAATCGATAGTTTCAACTGATGATTTTAATTACTTTGAAATTAAATGCTGCGAACGGTGATTGAATCAACTTGTTCAAACGTTATTGAATTAACATTTTTATTAAATTTTTATTTTTACTTAAAGGTGTATTAGAAAGAAAAGGATATGAGATTTTATTTCAAAAAACGACAAACTGATTTATACCTTGAAGAATATAACAATGAATATAAATAAAAGTATAGATGAAACAATTTTATTTTCTTCGATTATTTTTCAACGAATCGACTTTAATTACGTGAATTTTTGTTATTACACAAAAACCATTTCCAACTTCGAAACTTATGCATCTTCTGTACATCTTAATATTAACGGCAATGAAAAATAATTGATAATCATGTGAAAAGTACAGTTAATGATTCGATTATGCTTTTCACTGTATACTGCTTTAATATATCAAATGATATGATATATAATGTAATAATATGCAGGTACGACTCTACATGGTACTATATTCCACTAAAAGCGCAAAAGTTATTATTGTTCATCATGTTAAGAAGTTCCAAGAAATGTGAATTCAATATTTCCGGCTTATTCGTTTCATGTTACGAAGGATTTTCGGCGGTAATATTTTAAATTTATTATATTATTATATAAACGTCATGTAATCCCAATTTATTTATTAGAGCAATTTTATATTTTAGATGATGAGCGCGTCTTTTTCATATTTCACTGTTATACGCTCGTTTTAAATAAAAAGTTACACGCTCCATGCTTCTGTTACCTGCAATAAAATTTATTATTGTTGCTGTTGTTGTGTGATGTACATATTAGACTAATAAAGTTTATTTCCCATCACATGATGTAGAGATTTATGCAACATCTTTATAATATGTTTATTACGCAGAATGGAAATATTTCATAAACGATTGAAACTTAATTAAAATAATGTTCCTACAAAAGTTTGTTGCCATGAAACGGTGCATTATATGATACTAATGATATTTTAATGCATGAAATGATGGAAGATATCTGATTCTTTTAAAATAGAATCTTATAACGTCTTTGCTAATATTTTAGCGGATTTTGAGGAAAATTCGATGATCTATATATTTAATTATTTAATTACGACGGAATCAAGTGAGCCTAAATCGCTGATTTGCAGTTGTCAGATTGCATAACATAAACAAAGATCCAACTTCTTTATCTATGTATCCTTCTCAAATTCCACTAAATTATAAAAAAACTACTTCATTCGATGATTTGTAATGTTTTCTTTCATTTATTGTTGTTTACTAGTGAAAAGATTAATTGGAAGAAATGGCTCTAACTGTTCAAGATAAAATTGAATTAGTTCTTTTTGCATGAACATTGTTATTTGTTCTACAAAGAAGAAGACAAGTGTATATCTCAGTAAGAAGACATCTCTAAAAACAAAACCAGCATTGTCAATGATATAAAAAATTGTTAAATTATTCAAATCAACTGGAAGTGTTGTACAACAAAGACACAGGTGTTCTCCAATGTAACATATAATGAAATATATTGGCTATGTATATGTTGCTAATAATTGTAGTCAGAATTAGAACTGTTTGTATTCTGAAGTATATGAATAGTAATTTCAAACCATTTAAAATAACAACTGCATAAAACTTTGCATCATGATATTGAACCAAGGGTTGAAATTTTCTTGTGGATTTGAACATGAAATTTGCTGATGATACGAAATTTATTTGATATAATAATGATGACAAATAAAAGTATTCTTCATACTAACCAAATGGTTTATTATCAGAATGCAGGCACTCTACATTGGCTACAGAAAAGAAACATCATTAATATTGTAAAGAGAGTAAATAGTGTATATAAAGAAATTTTGTTCATTTGGATAAAAATTTCTTCCATCCAGGTTTTATTATATTACATTATATGTTACAATATATTATTGGCGACTGCTATAGCCTTCTTCCAAAGTTATAATATATATTATATGCTAGAGCAGTCGTCTGCCTTTGACACGAGTTGATAATATTGAATCTCTTTGTACATTTATTATTAATATTTATTAAATATCCTTCCTAGATTAATTTATAATCAAAGTATTATAATTTGATGCAATTAACAAATTTAAATTCTTATCTGTATAGAACTTCTTGGCTATTTGACTCTCTTTCCTTGAAAATAGAATGCAAACTTTGAATCCAAAACAATCAGACCAGTATTTCTTACTGTACAGAGAATTATATAGAATTTTATTATGGAAATATAGAACTAGATATAGACATAGATATGGTATCTATATTTTTCTTTCTACAAAAAATCGCGAGCTCATCTGCAAAGAGGAATGATTTGAAAAAACTCTGCTTTTATTTATAATATCAGTAATTTCTACTAAGATTACACTTGTGATAGAGATATTATTTGGGATTTACTATTTTCATATCCATTTTCATTACTCTTTTTCTTTATCAGAGTTATATTTGTTGTGTAGAATTCATATACATCATAAACTTTTTTAAAATAATATATGTTCTCACTGTTGATAACATATATTTCAGAGTAATCAAATGTTCTAAGATATTACAATCATCTGCTCTGTACCGGACACATTAGATAATGTGTCAAAGGAATAGGTGACCAAATTTTGGTGCCATGTATTATTATACCAAAGAAAGAAAAAAAATCAACAAATATAAGTTAAATTAAAATTTCTTCTGAGGTATAGATACTTTTCGATTATGAGTATTGCAAAAAGTTCAAGAAATTGCTGAAAATGTCTTTTTCTTTAATAATGCATTGATGACGTTTTGATGTCATGTCGTATTGACGTTTCAAAGATTATAGTAGATATTTAAAAATCTCTGGTTATTGTTATATTCTTATACGAAGCACTAATTCAATTTTTTAATATTTTCAGTTCATCAACAGTGTCATTATCGTGTGTTGAACTTTCAAACTGTCCCCACAAATAACCACCCAAAAGATTTAAGTCAAGAAAGCGTGCAGGTGAGTATATCTTGGAAAGAAAAAATTTTCGAACCGATGTTAATATCATCTTTTTTCGTTCTTTAGAAGCAGTAGAATAAGTTTGGCTGTCTTTGACATTCTAGACATATGCATAATTAATCTTTATATATTATTGATTACCTACTTTATGTAAAACAAAAGTCGTGCCGTTAGTTTCCATATATATTTGAATAAAATAATCGAATAAATTTAAGTATCTTCGTTCCAATATGACTCGAGCAGTATTTTATGAAGCACAATAGGTAACGTTGTAATGATTATTTACCATTCTGTTACAATAATAACAATTCAGTTTGAGACACTTTGTTCTACGATACAACATTTACTGACTGAAATTATTATGAAATGTCATTACAAACATGTTGCCATCAAATGTGGGAAAGCAAAAACCGGAAACAATGTAGAGAGCCATCACTCTACAATTTATTTGTAATTCATTCATACTTTGAAACAGTAAATTCATTATAATTATATCATCCTCAATGTGTCTAAAAAACAAAATTTAAACAAATTTTATTTCTAACCATAAAAATTTTTCAAAAGATTAAAATGAATTTTCACGATATTTCCTGAACACCACGCAGTTGTCAGTTATTAAAATACGCGTTCCATGGAAATAACTACAGTCAATTAGTTGTTATTGTTTGATGGTTTAAATTAATTGCAACCGTTGCTTATTCAGAACGAATATGTACGGATTATCTCCATGACTGTTTTAATCCTTTAAGTTGTAACATTTAATATAATGAAGAATTTGAAATGCAGTGTAAATGATAATTAAAATGATAACTAAGTTTTTTCATATCACGTGAGATTTTCATGATATGAAAATATGGTAAATTTGTCAGAAGACAGCTCTCTCGCGAATTTAAATAGAATCTTTTTTAATCACTTTGTTATAACGTATAAATAACAGGAACTATAACGAAAAAGGCCGGTCGAACTACAATGCCTTTGAAAAAAATAAAATACCACCAATAGTAATTCCGTTGATCCGTTAATCTGCATAATTGACTCAGTAGAATTTACGAATTGCTACGAAACATTTTCTTTTCTATATTATACGTGATATTCTAGTTGAATGATTCGTGTGAATGTTTGGCAATTCTGAAAAATATTTAATATATTTGGTATTCGAAAATACTTTTAGAACATTAATATTTTCCAACTGTATAATATTAATACATTAAAGAGTTTTCAACTTTTGTAATGTAAAAATGTGGAGATACTTTTTAGAACTAGAATTTGTAGATATTTAATTTTTAGAGATGTTTTTATTAATTTTCCGATTTTTACAGTTGAAGAATGTTTCTCTGCTATTAATCTCTGCTAAATTGAAATATATGGTACTTATATCAAGTATTATTCAAGGTTTATATTTGTCTAAAACTAAAAAGTATTTGTCACTGCGTCAAATTTAGAATAGAAATATTCAAGATGTGATTAGAAATCTATCTGTAAATTTTTCTGAAATTCCAACATGGAACGACTTTATTTAGATATTAGTTGAATTTCCTCGTTCACTTCATTAAAAAATTGTTCATTATTTTGAGAAATGTTTGAATTTACAATATTTGAATTTATAACATTTTATAACACTTTATAGCATAACATTTTCATTTAAATTAATTAAATTTTGTTCATAATATTTCATCAGAAATATGGAGGCAACTCTGTACAGAAGTAATATTGCAGATCCATTAATAAACTTAACATATATTACAAAAAAATAACTTGATGTCACCATTTTTTAATCTATTTTAAGCTTTACGAATTTTTCCAGTTTATGAACATCAGATGAAATATCCTTCGAAACTTAAACTTAGAAAAATATTTAGGAATATTAATAACTCAAAAAAGTGATAATCTGTTATCTCTTCGTAAGGTATAATAAGTTATCTCTTCGTGGCTTAGGTCCCCAACATTTGCTGGTTATCGACGCAAATCTGAGTATAGCATGATGCGACGACCACAAAATTCTACCTCTCTGTCGGAGGTTGCTCTTTTTGCTCCGCCCTATGTACTGTGCACAGACGAAAAGAGGATATTTCTTTTAAAAAAAAAAAAAGGGACTGCTGGTCTAATTGACTAGAGATGGATTCAATATAACGGACAGAATCGCGCCTACGGTTCTCTCAATTACCATTTTCAATTAGTTGGGAATGTCATTTCGTCTATGTGACTTATTGGCATCTCATTTCTTCAGGCACTGATTTCCATTGAAAAAGTATCGCCTGTAACATAAACTAGAATATCCAAACTAAATCGATCAAAGTGATTACTGCCTTGTAATCTGTCAGTGTTTTCCGGACAATCCTAACGGCCATACTTCTCTGCAATCTTCGCAAAAATTTGTGCGGCTGTGCAAGTCGCCCGCCCACACTCATAGGCTCAATAAACCATTAATCATATCACTGTGATATCAGTATAAATCAGTCACATCAGTATAAATATGGCGAATAATCCTATCAAATTCTCTATGGTTGTGCAACAGTCAAAAACATGATTGCTACTCCTTGCAGTCCGAGAATAAAACTTGAAACGCCAGTGTCTATTTAAGAAAACGCCAAAATATTGTTGAAACTAACAATTGACTGGTCGTTTCGGATAAATTCGATACAAAATTAAATATGTCACATACTGTATGGTGAAAAGTATAAATAAATAAACAAACTCACGTAACACATGTCAGTGAATGGTATTTGTCATCCCGTGAAACTTCTTA